CAACGTGGTGCGATCATCCCCCTTGCGCGGAGTGAGGGTTCTCGACCCCGCACAACATGATCTACTCGACCACCATTATGAATTCCGCAAAAAAATAAAACAGGGGTAAAAAAAATATAAACGGTAACCTGGTTGCCGAGTTCACGAAGTGAATTGGCTTGTTTTACAACGTCGTTGCCAAGCGACGAAAACCCAACCCCGATGGTAAACACCGGGGGGGGGGGACGGAGGGGGGCGAACATATTGCAGCCAATGGGTCACGCGGAATAGATGGTGATCGTGATATCCGCACGCTGAGCTTGAGTTGTCATTGTGGTTGTCGTTTTGGGGACAGCGTGGGTGTACGCGGCAAGGTTAATTACTGCAGCTCGATTTGCGAACGAATTGTAACGGTGAAGGCGAAGAATGGGGGTGGGCCGGGGGTCATACGTCTCCTTATCATAGTATAGTGCAGATGTCAGCCGGTAGGAGTTAAGTTGCCCCCGCGCGTGTGTGTGGGAGACAAATTATTGTTCGTAACTCGGAGGGGACGTTGTCGGTGCCAGCCAATGATCTATCTCCCCCACATGCCCGAGGGCCTCAGCCAGCCAATACTGGCTGGCCTGCCGACCGCCAGTCACAATCCCCGAAATGAAGACGCTAACGCAAACCACCCAAATCAATCCCTCCGGTTGTTATCAACTTCCCCCCACCCTAATAACTCGTCCGCATGTCAGATGGCCTCTCTTTTCGAGCCCTGCCCCCCTGACTTCGAAGACAACACCAAGGGTGGCGGCAGCAGTGACAGTGGCAGTGGTGACCACCACAGCGGAGGGGGCGACGGCGGTGGAGGGGGGGGGAGGTTCAGTGGCGTCACGGAGGGGGCGGTCGAGACAGACACCGGTTTTTCGGTGCTCGGGACAGGGCGTTTCTCCAGGGTGGTGTGGGCCAGGAGGAAGCGACCCTGGGCGAGGGCTGGGGGTAGCGTCTCGGCGATAAAGGTATTTTTTGGCAATACTTTGTTCCTGGCTGGCCCCAAGGCTAGGTGTGGATTGTAGAAGATGAGAAGGAGGGTTAAGCGCCCTGACCAGCTTTCGATAACAGCACGTTGTGGACCCCGCATGTTGGTACGTGTGTGTATTGATACGCTTTGGTGGTCTAAACAGGAGCTGCGCGAGTCGCGGAAGGGTGGTTGCTGCACCTGCAGATCTGCTCTAGATGATGCCAGCTACCAAAACATAGTTTCTGATACATTTTCGTGCAGAGTTCGAACATTGCAGTTACTTGGCGGGGACGGGGCAGGGTGTTTTTCTTCATCACACAGGTCACTGTAGGCAAGATGTGCATTTTTCCCTTGTAGCAATGCATTCCTATCTTTCTCTGCTGATACCGGTTCCACGTTGTAAGCCAGAGACATCCCCGTACCAATAACACTACCTGAAAGGCTTGAGCTACTCCAACCCCCCCGTCCCCGGTATTCGGCAGATTGTCAACAAGCAGGCCTTCTGGTCCCGCGTCCGCGTCGGCAAGGAGCGGGTGGACACCCTCGCCAGGGAAGTCTTCTGCCAGACCACCCTGACCATCAAGGGCGCGGAGGCCGCCTCGGGAGCAGCAGCCGGCGATGACCCCTCCTCCGAAGAAAGTTCCGAAGAATGCTCCGAAGAACGTTCCGAAGACCGGTCTTCTCGGGGGGCCGGCGGACCCGGGGCGGTGGGTGCCTGTGACGGCGCTGGGGGTGGAGGGATCGTCCGCATCCACAGCATCTTCGAGACGGCGGACGACCTGGTGAGTGATTAGGAGTGCGCGGCGGAGACGCGCCTCCTTTTGTGTGGGAGGGGGTTGAGCGAGGCGTGTCTTGTGTTTGGGTTTTGCGGTTGGTTGCAAACAGGCGTTGGTGGGAGCCAGTATCGGTTGATCGACAGCATGTGCTGCTGCAGTGTGCTGTCGCGGTTGAGCGGGTGATGTTGCGACCCTATAAGTGGAGTCTCGCTGTGGCCTCCCATAAGGCTAACGTTAATTGCGGTGCTAGTGGAGCTCCATTTTGGCCTAAAGGGTCCGCGAAAGCTTTCAGCGACGGACGACAGCTAGTGAAGTCGAGAGGGCATGCAAAGGTTCTGGGACGTCGAGTAGCAGCGCACCGCATGCATGCCCTGCTGCATGGTAGAAGTCGAAGAATACCTGGAACGGAAACGGATCCTGAAAAATGAACCGGCCTGTATCCCCCTATGTCGCGTCAGCTGTAGCGGGGAGGATGGGCGGCGAGAAGCAATTCCAGAAATCCCAGCATGTTTAAAAGCGCACTTCTTCGCCAGGATGCTATGAGCTACCATCGAGTACCGTATGCATACAGTACCTTCAACATGTGCCAAGTTTACATAATACATGGGGCAGCTACTTTCCAACTTCGAATAGACCTGTTTTGGTACGTTCGAAGTGCAGTTGAAGACTTGCGACATGCTTCCGACACCTCACTTTCTTTGCCAGCTCCCAAGGCTCGAGCAAGTTGTCGAACTGAACAACCAAGTTTAGGCGGCGGGAGCGCGTCATGGCTTCGGATTTCGCCGTTAGAGGTCGGGCTTGCCTGTATGTATGATGTATGCACGTGCCACTCCCCAGCACACGTTCCGACTATGCGCAAATGATCAGCTTACTGGTGGAGTGAGCTCGCAAACGAGTAATCTGTGCCACCATATGTCCTGGATGAAAAAATACCTGGAATTCGGAAGTGACCAACAGATTGGTGGGGATCAACCTCGCAAATGAATACTGTACGCCACAGAATCCGCCGTTGAAAAATGCCCGGAATGAAACTTATTGTGTCGAGCGGTTAGAATATACGGTATTCCCCGACCAACGCAAGCCGTGCAACCCTTTCCCGCGAATCTACTTCCAGATCCTGGAGATGGACCTCATGTCGAGGACGGACCTGTTCGACCGCCTGTTGGAGCGAGACGGCGCCTTCTCGGAGAGGGAGGCGGCGGGGTTGACCCGAAACTTGCTTCTCGCGGTGAGGTGTCAAGCTTAATGATGATTCACAAACAGCCAACCATTACGCTTGGAGGACGTGTAGCCAGAACGCGCGGTACGGGGGCAAGCTCAAGGATGATTGGTGCAACTAAAACAGCCGCAGAACAATTTAGACTGCAGGAAGCGAATATAGCCTGAAACGCGCGGTGGGAGCAAGGGCAGGGATGATGGAATATGAAAACAGCAGCCACATATCGTATGAACATGGCGGAAGCATGGCCAGAACGCGCGGTGCGGGAGCAAGGTCATGACGATTGATTCAAGAAAGCAGCCGCACAACAATGAAATATGGAGGAAGCGAGGATAAGCAGAACGCGCGATACGGGAGCAAGCTTTTGGATGATGAAATATTATTCAACACGAGCCACTCAACCAGTTAACACGAAGGGAACCGTGTCCAGAAAAAAAATCCACGTGCTATGCATTCGCTTCACGCAGTAAACAGAGTCTGTTTCCACTGGATGATTCCTCTTTTCTGAGGGCAACCAACAGCTTTTGTTTGTTCCCTTTCCTCTCGTTGCCGCTGCTGTTCGGACCACCAAACGTAGCCCGCGCGGGACTTTGGATACTGATGTGCTAGCTGTGGTTCTTGTGCTTGGTAAACGAAGTGCCTTGGTTTTTTTGAAAATATGACTTGATTTACTTCGGAGTTTTTGTTATTTTCTTTTGTCCTTCTGGTCGTAACACCATGCGATGATTGGAATTCTCGCGTGCTACAGCAGTAAGGTTTTGATGCAAATACAAGTGCATACTGTTTGTTTATACAGCAGTATGTGTTTCTGTTTTTTCCTTGACAATTTATTGGGATTTTCTAAGACTACAAGAAAATAAAAAAGACTCACAGCACTTGGTTGTAAAACCCGGAAGGAAGCGGAAAACCTGGGTTCGCCGCTGGCAACGCTCTCGTTTGCGACGCCTAACTCTCCTCTCTGCTTGCTGCCAAACTCTAAACTCCAGATCGACAAGTGCAACAGGCTCGGATTTTGCCACAGAGACGTGAAGCTGTCCAACCTCCTGTACCCCGGGCCGGCCTCTACTCACGGACCCGAGTGCGTCCTTCTCGCCGACTTCGGCATGGCCACCACGGCCGGTCGGGACGGCTTGGTTCGCGGAAGGTACTTGTTGTGCGGCGCTGCTTGCTACTATATGTACTGTAGTCCGTTCTCGCCGACGGTTTCGTGGTGCCTTTGCGGTGGTTGAATCCCGATTGTGCCGCGGACTTACACTGGTTCGCGGAAGGTAATCGTTGTGCGGCGCTGCTTTGCTACTGCATGTACTGTAGCCCGTTCTCGCCGACGGTTTCGTGGTTGGTGGTTCACGTGCGGTGGTTGAAACTCCCGACTGCGACCAAAGAGCGATCGCCTAACCGTCGTGTGGTGCCAATAGTGTATTGTAGTGTGGCAACAACAACAACAACAACAACAACTACTACTACTACTACTACTACTACTACTACTACTACTACTACAACCGCAGGTGCGGCACTTCGGGCTACGTTGCCCCGGAGATTCTGAAGGCCGGAAAGCAGGAGGGCTACGGCATGAACGTGGACATATTCTCGGTGAGCATCATCCACTATACAGATGCGCCCACACTCAAAAGCCTCTAGTCCTCTACTTTCGGCCAAGACTGGCGTTATTTGTACCTCTTCTGGCCTACAGATGACTGCTCTGTAGCATTGGATGCAGGGGTCTCAACGGGGTTCCCAAATGGTAGAGGTTTCATGAAATGTTGAGCATGAAGTTTTTCACTTCCACGTTCTGAAGCGCCGGCGCTAAGTTGAAGCTTTGGTAATAGACTTTCACACGGGTCAACCCGCCATCTTAACACTCTTTCACCGTTTTTTTGGTGGTCGATGGCTGTCCCAGCTGCAAGCTTTTCGAGTAGGAGGCGCACACACGTGGCCGCACGGTGTGCGAGTGTTCGGCGGTCTCACACGCTGGGGCATTGGTCACGCCCTTTGCGTGGTAGCTTTTGTGTTGGTGGATTTTTCCGTGTGTTTGTACGGTACGCATTACACCGGGTCCCACCCGTACCGGACACAGGGGTTTCTACCGTCGCCGTTACTATTGACGGCTCGGGAGAGCAAAACTCCATGAGAGCTGGATATAGAGACAGGCAAGGCAGAGAGAGAGGGAGAGAGAGAGAGAGAGAGAGAGGGAGAAAGAGAGAGAGAGAGAGAGAGTCCACAAGGGTCAATTGCTGGTGCTTCGCACGAGTAAACGACGAACCCCACCTTCCACGTCAATGTGCCCCAAGCAACGACCACGTACATATTTTTCCGCTGTGCGCGTTTGACGCCTCCCTTCATTCCCCGTGCAACCAAGCGCATGTACCGTACGCGAGGCAACACACTCACACGGGATAACACCCCTCCCACACACACTGTGCCACATCCGGTGGTAATAGTTTTACCGGTCGACATGGGCCGAAAACCAACAACTACTGCTAGATATAAGGAAAGAGGGCGGCACATGATATCACCACCCCACAAACAATAGCACACGCGGTTTTAAATATTTCACAGCTTAGATGTTGAATATCGGGGGGGGCGTTTTTTTGTGTCGTATAGGGTATTCATAAGACACATAAATCGCACAAGCTCGCGGACAACGCATGTCCAACGGAACGGCATCCACAAGGAACCACGGGACCTATCATATTTGCTACGTGTGCAGGCTGGAGTCGTCCTCTACATTTGCCTGTGCGGCTTCGAGCCGTTTTTCGGGGTGACGGAGAAGGACGTCATCGCGGCCAACAAGGAGGCGGCGTTCGAGTTCCCCCCGGAGGCGTGGGATGACATTTCCGAGGGGGCTAAGGATCTGGTGAGCGCTCGTTGTTGTTGTTGTTGTTGTTGTTGCTGCTGGTCGATGGCAACTGGGATAGGCTCGCAGGCTACGTTAAAAGGTGTTGCTTCTGTTGTCTTGAACACTAAGAAGCCGTTCCGGCCTGCCTCAGCTCAGTACTATCTATCTAACTGAGCTATGATACTGTAGGTAATGCTGGTCCATTGAGGGCTACCACCGAGGTGTAGCCTTGACGCACGGTTTGCCGCGAATCTTGCGGGTGACGACGCGATTTGGTCACAGCCTGCAAGGGAGGGAGGCACCCAATGGTTCCGGTAGATCGGGTACGTGAAATTGTTTAGGGAGAATATGAATAGCAGTATGTAGCAGGAGTTATTCTGACGCGCTGTGCCTCTTCGCTATTTTCCGGTTCTTCCATTTCCATGAGTAGTCTAGTCTCTCTCACTTGTCCAGGCCAACGACCCTTCACGTGTATGATGTCATGAAATACGCCCATCCCTTGTACGGGTTCTCCCCCGAACGGCACCAAATTTCAGATCCGCCAGATGATGGAACCGGACCCTGCCAGGCGTATTACGCCTCAAGAAGCTCTTCGGCACTCTTGGATAGTGCAGCATCGAACATCGCTACACTAGCGGCAGCTGTGATTCCGCCATTGGGGCCACGGCGTCGTCACCAGTATCACATTGACAACAAAACAAGACCCTCGGCGATGACTCAGACTGAAGAGTCGAGCGACCGGGGGCCGGAGCGGCTTTGGCGAAAGCGCACGTGTACATCATGCTCCGAGAACAATCAAATTGGATGGTTGGTATGGAGAGGAAGGGGTCGGAGTCGGTTGGGTATGATCAAAGAGAAAATCGCAGGCGAAAGTCTTTTGCTTTTTTTGAAGGGGTGAAAAATAATCACAATCTCGCCGCGTTTTGACCCCCTCTATAGACGTGGTAAAAAAATGAGCTTTGCGCTCTGTGACGGGGGGGGGGGTCTATATTTGTGCTGTTGTGTAAGCAGACTTTTTTTTCGTTTTGTGTGTTGGTGCTTGCGCCGGAAATGGCGTCCTGATTAATTTTCGTCTGTCACGCGACACACCCTCGTTTTGGTAATAGTTGCCGACTCTTGTGTCGCTTTTTGTTGTGTTCTATTTGTTTTGCTGGTGGTGTAGCTGCCAAAAGTTCTCTTGAGAAAACAAGAGATTTTTGCGTGGCTGTGAAAGGTAGTCAGGGGACCCGACGGCATTTGCGTCTGTATCTACCCTCTCCGTTTTCTCGCCACGGTTTTGTTACATCACCTCCTCCGACCATATCGCTGCTGTGTGTTCGGGGATGGTGCTTACTGTTCGGATGGTGCTTACCTCTTGTGGTTTTCCTGCAGAGGTGGCGTTAGGTCGCTAGCGGGGTACAGGAGGATGTATTTCCCTCCTTCCTCTGTTGGTTTTGATTTCTTGCCACATGGGAAATAAATGTTTCCAACGTGGATCCTCGGTGGTGTTGTGGTTGATCCCCCGCTCGCATCCTTGCCTAATATTGCCAACGATGCTGTAGTCGTCTGCTTTCTCAAGGTACTGACTACTAGCAAGGCAGGCGCGTGTTCCGGCCAAGTGTGCTCGTGGGATGCGGTGTATATGTTTATGGATGTATGTTCATGGATAGGGTATAACTCCCCCCCCGCCCTGCTAAAGTTGCGTTTTGTTTGCGTGAAGCTTGCAGGAAACGGGAACCGATTTTCAGATGCGCGTCGTCGGTAAGATTAAGACAAGCCTTTGCTTTCTAAGAAATGCCTATACCTGCTCCGCGGATTTGCTTGCGGAGTGTACATATCGGGTGCCGTGTGCGTGTTTGTCAACCTGAAAAGGGCATCGAGTAGATGGTTCCATATGTGTTAATTATGTGTAGCGAGAATCGATGCTACATGGAGTACTCTAGAGCCGAACGGAGCTAATGGCCGCCTCACATTTTCCACGGCAGTGAATCCTCAGCGACGCTGCTGCGGCACTACACGATCCCTCGAGACCGTTTAGCTGTCAAGGGAAGGACTCGTGTCGGAGTGAGTTTCTATGGGTGTTCGTTGCTTTCTGGGGCCAGCGTTCAAGAATAGCTCTGCTTGCCGTGTGTCGCCGTGTCACAAAAACGCAGAGAAAGTGGTTTTGGGAGCCTCCCCCACCGTGATCGGAGCTAGCTCCAAAGTCAGACAGGGTGGGGGCGTGCGTAAAGCACACGGTATGAGCTATTTTGTGACAGGGACGCGTCTTTCTGCGCCCAGCCCTTCCCGCACCATTAAATGGGCGGCTAGATTTATCGCGAAGCGGGGAGCCGCTGAGGAGGCTTGTTTGTGTTTGTTGCTTTTGGGCTTGCTTCGGGCGGGTACAAAGGAGGCTCAGGGGTAAACGCACCCCACCACTACAGTACCCGAAACCGGACCAAACGAAGACATATATGAGAAACGAGGGAAAGAGGGAGGGGGGGAGAGAGAGTAGAGGGTTACCTTGGTGTTGTTGGTTATGCTGCTTGATTACCCCACCAGTGTTGTTAGGGTTGGGAGAGGTGTTTGCAATCGACCGCCGCCAGACTACATGGACTGCCGCGAGGGAGAAAGAGCAGAGTTGGTACGGTGGTGTGTCGCTTTTTCAGGGGGACTGGAGGGTTACCGGGGTTGTGTTGGCACGCCGTTGTTCCACCAGTAGACTAGACGAGGCGGATCGTATTTTCACAGGAAGGAAGGAGGTTCGGCGAAACAAGGCGGTAGACTAGTACAAGGTATCGGCTAGACTGACGGCGGCGGGTTAAACCGAATCTACGCTATTTTTTTGTGTCATGTGTCTCGAGTACTGGAACGGTCGGACAGAAAGCTGCGGCAGATTAACGTGGTCGATGCCAACAAACGAACCACACACGCGTTCGTGTTGTGGGGATTCGCGATCGGCCTGATTGCTCCACAGGCAGACTCTGTGGTGCGGGTGCATAATCACTGTGCAATGAGCACTTGAGCCCTGCCACTTCATTCACTAGTACAACTTTTGCTGTTGCTCTTGTTTTTGTACATCTGGCTGTCTACCCATCTGCCGCCTCTTTGTCCTGTTTGCTCCGTTACTCCCATACCCTGGTGCGTAGTGCCTGGTGCTGGTACGTTACCTTTTGATTTTTCTTCAAGCGGGTGTGGGCAGCGTCCTCCTTTATTTTTGTTTTTTGTTTATTTTGATCGGTTTGCAAGGGCTCTTTTCTCGAACGGGCGGTGCGGTGCCTGTTATTTTCTTTTAATCACTTTGTTTTCTTTTTCCGAGTGGTTTGTACCCTACTTTTGTTTTGCTTCCCCGCGGCGTCGTATGTGCCGGGTTTTGAGACCACGGGCTCCCCATTTTTTGTGGACTAAAGAGGAAACGTGAGAAACAACAACAACAAGCACAACCTTTGCAGATGGATAATCGCGTCATCCCAAGAGCCTTACGGAAAGTCACATGCCCATTGCAATAAGTAGAAAATATGACTCTTCCCGATTAACCAAAAGCACTGCTCTACGAAACGGGCCGTACAAGATTTGATTTAGTCATCCTCCCAGGGCTACGTGCAGGTGAAAAGAAAGACGAGGATATCGCCACCAAGTCGGACTCTCATAGATGTCACCAGCGTGAACCCTGCAGCGAGCAGAAGCCGAAAAAAATCGAATGAGGGAACTCTCAACCTGTCTAGGGCGACTTACCACCGTCCCTACTGCTACACAAAGCACAATAACTCACATTAAGAATCTATCCCCGCACCCCCCTGCGACTTTGGGGTATGTGAATCGCGAGTTTTTTCGGCGACTACTACTGTAGCATCACTTCAGCAGCCTCATGAACCGAATCAGGCCAACAGCAGGCGAAAACTTATTTGTGCATGGGAACATTTCGGCGAAAACATCGAAGTGCATCGAAACATGCCCCAGGAACCATGCCGAACAACGACCCACAAAGCTCCTCCCGTAGGCGACCTTTATTGGGTGAAACGATTCACCGAGGACTACAAAATACAGTTGACTGGTTCTATGCATATCATACGTAGGAACAACCCATACTCGTCCTCACGTAGAAACTAATCGCGAGGAACTAAGCCCCCGGCCATACACCGTCCATCCATTTTACCCCTCAGCTCGGCGAACCGAGGGTTGCTTCGCATTCGGGCGGTGAACCATTACCTACTTAGGATAGCCTAAAGGCAAAACATTCCCATGTCTTACATGGCAGACAAATGAATAGACACCGCTTCGCCCGCTACCAGAATAACAGTCCCTAGAGTAACACGAGTGAACACACTCACTCAACTTTTGGCACGACCAGAGCAGGAAGAGGTGCTACTCAGCGGTTAAGTAGAGCGCTAAATCTCGTTGTTTCAAGTTTTTGAATACGACATTGTGCATGCGTGTAGTGAAACACGCGTGCACAATATTGTAACCGAAGGTCTGAAACAAGTCAACTAACGTTTCTGTGAAACTGAGAGTACCTGAAGGGAGTCACTTCCAGCCAAGCGGAGGGTCCAGAACGATTGGGAGCGACCTTGAACCGGACCGCCGCCCTTTCTTCACGACGACATGAAAGTATCCACACACAGAGTATCGCAGTGTAGAGATTCCCCAAAAGCCAGTTCGTTGGGTGCAACCTCGCGTTTTAGGCCCTCCAGGCATCGCTGTTGGGGACGGGAGTTGAAGGCAAAGTATCAGCGACGGAGCTGAACGCGTAGTAAGGGCTATATCAAGGTGCGGTTTAAGTACTGCGTCTCCTCACAGCTTCGTAGACACATTCAGGTCGCCAACACTGCCACCACCGAGAACACCGCCGCTGGGTGCTACAGGCCCACCTTTCCACCTCCAAACCGAAAGATCTCCACTGGTGCGAATACTGATAAAAACACTGATACATGGGAAGGTGAAGCCGAACTCAAACCGAAATTAAAGTGCTCGACTAGATGGTTGAAGGCCCAGAGCACGTGCCATGTCGTCTGCTAAATATAGCCTGCTTTTCGAGCATTGCGCTGAACAGTGTTTCGTTGCTTTGCTTGGCAGCTAAATGTATTGTAGTTCTGAGCGAGATACTACAGTACAGTAGTAGTATTGCAGCAACGACTGGAGCCAACGACTGGAACAACTGCTGGCAGAGCACTGAACATAACGCACCACCCACATCGTTCGCGTCGAGAGGGCCGTTTGTATCGGACTCCTCCCTGCTATCGATATCGGTGCGCTCCCTAATTCTTAGATTTTCAGCACACGTTACACGAAAATCACATATATATTCATTCGTACACCGCCAAGCGCGGAGCAGAATGTATCTGGCGGGATCGATGTTATGTGGCCACAGGGATAACTAATTGCATTTACTTCGGGGACGTCATTCGGGCGTGTCACTTCACACGGTCATAGAACGGCATGTTGTCCCAAGACCCTGTTGGGATTTGTATGCAAGAACTGACTCTATTCTACTGCATGGGTTTTGTGCAGTATTGTGAAGGCGTGTCTCCAAGTCTGTAACCGTCAGGTGAAGACAGCTTGGGCGCCTGTGTTTTGGATCTAATGATCACTCTGTGTTGTATCTA